TGTCAATAAAGCCTGTTCTGTTGTACCCGTCTTCCTCCTATTAGGGCTCGGGTATTCTACAGTGACGTCGGATCAGAGCGCAGACATGTTGGACCACCTGGCCGCAGCCAATGCTGTGTCTCTCTGCGTTCCAATGGCATGCGGAGAAGGTAAGCAGCCAACCGGAGAAGGACATGGATGAGATGCAGTATATGTGGAGCGGCGTGGCCAGTGTCGGGAACTCGGATGGAAGGCGCATGACGTGCGGCTCTGGCTTCTGATTGGTCGATAAAGCCTGTTCTGTTGTACCCGTCTTCTTCCTATTAGGGCTCGGGTATTCTACAGTGGTGTGGCGGAATGGTAGATGGCAGCCATATTGGCGACGGTAGTCAGCATGGCGTGGAGGCGACGTCCCGTGATCGGGGGTGCAATTTCCGGCTGCGTGGCGGCGCGCGGGCATTGAATGACGCGCTGGAGACTGAGAGCCAATCCGCTCTCGAGTTTTCTGTCTCCATTGTAGCGACGCGGAACGGATTAATGGGAGAACAGGAAGAACAGAACTAAGATATATAAGCCCAATGTTTTCCTCATACGGACCGACCAGATTTAGACCAAAGTGTAACGTATTTCATCCTTTATTAAAAGAATCCATTCTGTCTCATTCTCTTCTTCACCATATCATGGGCCCAAACGTATAGTGGCGACGGATTATTGCGCAGACATTTTGGACCACCTGGCTTCAACCAATCCTGTGTCTCTCTGCGTTCCAATGGCATACGAGGAAGATAAGCAGCCAACCAGAGAAGGAGACGACCGAGGTGCAGCGTGGCGGACTCGGGTGGACGGCACTTGACTTGTGGTTCTGGCTTGTGTTTGGTCAATAAACCTTGTTCTGTTGTACCAGTCGTCTTCAAACTTGGGCTTGGATATCCTACAGTGACGACGTAAATGGGAACAGACATATTGAGTCACACTAACCTCAGCCAGTTTTCCGTCTCTTTGCGTTTAAATTGATTGTGAGGAGGATTTGTAGCTGACTAGAGACACGGAAGTATGAGAGCAATATACAATGGGCGACACACCCAGCATGAGTGACCTGGATGGGCACTGTTTGACTGATCAAATAAGTCTAACCTCTTGCACCAGTATTTTTCATAAGAGGACTCGGGTATTCTACGTAGTGGTACAATGAGGCCGAGACATATTGGATCACGCAGTGCTCAGCCAACGCTGTCGTCGTGTGTTCAAATGTCCTGCGAGGAAGATAAGCAGCCATCCTGAGACACTAGCGGGATAGGGCAGCATCTAACTAGCCGCTCATCCAGAATGGAGAACTGGGATGGAAATTTGCCTGACGGGTGGTCCTGGTTTTTGGCTAGTCATTAAAATTTGCAACGTTGTATTTGCATTTTCCATACTTTGGCTTGTGTATTCGATATTAGTTACAGCATCAGCATTTGTATAAAACGACTTAAATCCCACACTATGCCTTTTCTACTATGAAATGAAAGAAGAATACCCATGATTGATGACTGCGATATGATATGACAGTTCATCTCGAGAAGTGCCTTATCTTTTCATATTTCTCCGACAGAAGCTGATTAGTATTTAACTGCAGGCAAAACCACTATCTTAAATTCCTATTTTATTTATCCTTAATTCGTGAATTCACCTGAGTGTTCTTGGATGTATTGCGTATTAATAATTGACGATCTTTTGTTTCCTTTTTCCAACAAATGACTTCTGACAGAATCATTGTTATATTCTTGAAAATTTGCGATAGTTAGAGCTGTTTTACGTTGTTTCCCAAGTCATCTCACCTATTAATTTCGTCAAACCAGTACCGAACAGAAGCTTGTCATTTAGGATTTGTTCCCAGTTCATTTACCTTCGTTGGTCTAGAAGCTAAGGACTTGAGTGTCCATTCTGAAAGCAACTGGTACGTGCATTCTTGGTTAATGACTATTTTGGTTTTATCCCAGCATTTTACCAATTGATCTAATCAAGCATAATATGTAGCACTAATGCGTAAAACGAACGAATCATAAAGGCATTTTCTTGTAATAGGTTTAGGCTGGGCATAAAATCATATGAAACGGAGCCATGAAGAACATAATGAGGGTATCGAACAATACCAGTAAGTATTTAAAATAGAATAGGCTTAATATGGCGATCGAGAGTAACGGGGTTTAGGTTGCTTGTTCCTGCTTGTTCGTCCAAGAGTGGGAACTGGTTCTCACCTTTTCAGGGAATCCTGCAAAAGATATTATTGTTGTAGGTGCTAGGTCGTAGCTGTCAGTTCAGTTAGAATAATCCCGTAATTCTAAAAGTACAATGCTGGCATTTATTCTCAAAATTAACATCAGCTATATGCTTTCGCGAATTTCCGCCTTAGCCATAATGTCAAGGATTTTCTGATAGTGTACTACCCGGCAATATGCAGAATTTGGCGAGTTTCATCCTTATTCCTTAAGTTTTTGCGGACTGCAAAAATTAACGTATCGCAGTCGTATAAATTTTAATTAAATTTTGTTTCATGGGAAATTCAATCGTTGCTACCTGAATGCTTGGAGTACAGGATCGCTTCATACATGTCCTAATTTTAATATGTAGTCATATCTCCGCTAATATAAAGACCTATTCGTCCTCATACTTTGTACAGTAAATTGGCTTTTTTTAAAAAAAATTGGACAAAATATTTTTTTCAAAAGTTATAACACAATTATTTGATAATCTACTTACGTTTTAATACACAAACTCCACCCCACAATCATTGGTGCCTGCTTTGAACGCTTTTCGAGATGATCATCAAGGAGTTGTATGTAGTGCATTCTCTTTATGCTTTAATTAATCGAAACAGAACTTTTTTGATTTGACATGATGCTTTTAGTTCCAAATTTAGCAGCACATCCAGTTGAATTGTCTGTTTTTATCTTAAAGCCGGGTTATTCTTCCAATGACCGTGGAAGAGTACCAAGTGGCCCAACTTTGGACTGTTATTGAGGCTTCAAAAAACGAAACCGGTGGTGGAGAGGGTGTGGAGATACTAGTTAACGAACCGTTTTCCGCGGGCACTGAATATGCTCCAAAAGTTGCACTTCCTGGTGGCGATGCACACACCAGCGGTCAATATACACTTAAAATCTATCATTTGGCGTCAAAGGTTCCCGGTTTTATCAGTGCTCTCGCTCCGGCGAATTCGCTGAATGTCAAAGAGGAGGCGTGGAATGCGTTTCCTTACTGTCGCACTGTAATCACGGTATGCCTCCTTGATTGCGATTTATTGCTCTGTACCGCATTTTCTAAGTGAGTTTTGTGTTGTCTTACGTTTTTCTTCGTAAACTAATAGAACACGAACGTGACAATACTACTACTTATGTGTGGAATTTCCAGGTGCTCGTAAGCTATTTGCAATCCCATTTACCACTTGAAGCATTTTAAATGATTGCGGGCGAGCGGAAGTCAGTGCGTGCTTGTTAAATCTTTAAAGCTAGTTTAAGTACCTGTATAGTGCTTATAGTTTTGTTGATATTAAGCATGGGGTGACTTGGTACAGAGAGTAACGAATAATAAATTCGTGGACAATTATGCGAATAAAACAAACCCGTACTTAGTCCATGGCCTGTTGTAAATTATGATCTTGTGATGACAATTACATAAATACTGGCCTTCGTGCGGATGCCATGAAGGGGCCATTGTTCATTTTGGCAAAAAATGGTGTGCATTCTTGCATGCCGAATTAGATGGAGAAAATGAGGGCTTCGATATATTTGCTGTCGTGAGGTTATAACGAACTAGTACGGCAGGTAGGTCAAATACGTTGTAAAAAAAACCAAACCTGGAGGCAAAGGTGGTCATCAAAATTATTAAAAATCCCGCCATATCTGATTACCGCGATTCCACGTGGACGTGCATGTATTATACCACTTCATTGTTGGCGTTTGCATAACGCATATCGTCCCTATTACGAGTTTAACATGGCGTAATGCAATTGCTTTTATTTCTAGAAGCCGTGCCTTATTAGCGTCGAATTGCCACCAAATAGTACCAGTCATTTGTTTAGATTTGTGATGTTATGTGTTAGAGTTGATTCAAAATTCAAGCATGAACACTTGAACGGGACAAGCTTAGCATTTATAGTTTTCTTATAATCACAATGTCCTCCTTTCTGGTTTGCTTCTTTCTCAAGTTTTCTGATTTTGCGGCGTAACTTAGAACTGGAATCACTTCTTTTCTGAATATTGACTCTAAACAGCTCCAGCTTAAAAGTATCCAATTTCTTGACATTTAAAATGGTATTGGTTGGTAAACTATGTTGTAATCTTTGTGAATATTGATACTTTAGGGATACTTAAGATTATCTCTGTTATGCATACACTTATGGGCAAATATGCTTACCTCACTTGGCAACTGTTTCAGTTCATAATCAAATTGCACATTTTGCATCATATGCTGAATGTATTTTAACAAAAATTCTATTCCCTATTCTAGAACGGCTATATGAAAGATAGTTTCTTTCTGAAGGTTGAATCAATGCACGTCCAAGACAAAATTGACATTGAAAATGTAAGCTTTGCTGTTGCTACTATTGTTTTATTGCTAGTATTTCACAATTTGCCCGCCTTCGTATATTTGTCATTGGTTGTAGATTCACGAGTTGTCGCCCGAAAACTTGGCGAAACGCGAAGTGATCTATATCGACATTGCAAGCGATCCCGATCGCGGATACAAGGCTGAATGGGATCCTAAGCTTTTCCAGTCCAAGACAACCGGACGTGGACCTCTTTCTAAACAACGGTGGTGGGAGGTAGCAAATTTTTCCTCTTTCCTTTTGGTTTTCTTCGTTTAATTCGACCGTTTGCTAAGGTTGTTCAAGCTTTAACTTGTGTATTCGTGATTCATAGCCAGCTCCTCAGACTTGTTTATTAGAAGTAAAGGACATAGTTAACCTCGCATTCAGGGCAGTGCTTAGCTCCTTTCCCCTAATAGACCACTAAAAGTTAATTATGTTTCTATCATTGTAAAATGCAACCTATCATCTGAGGCAAAAGTAATTTAAACGCTTTTATCTCTGGGTTTTAAGGTCCATGGTTTGTTCACATCTGAATCTCGTGCAGTATCTACTGCTGTTTTGGTTTGTAACCTACGTAAAGTACTCATCTTGCTAACCTGTAGATTGGAAAAAAAGTAGGAATAATTGTCTTGAAAGTTAAGCATATTCCACGTTTTATCTAAGAGGCTTGAATTATCTGCCTCCTAACATGGTTCTACAGTTGTCGTTTGTTTTCTCAGAATACTGACATGCCAGTAATGTGCGCCTACAAGTTGGTGACTTGTGAATTCCAGTGGTGGGGTCTGCAAACGGTGGTGGAGAACTACATCGCCAGAGTAAGCTCGCTTTACATTGACCTTGTAAACTTATTGACTAAAAGGTTAGGACAGCTTCTGAGATGCCAAAATCACTTGTACCAATCCGATAGCCCGATCAGTCGATGTTTAGCAAACATCGTCTCTCTACCCTTGCTGTTATTTTCGCAATTGCTGACTCCATTGCAACCTCCGTAAATTAAGTATGCCGCTAACTGGTTGTTGTGTCTTTTTTTTACCTTTTTGTTTATTCTTCATATGTTTACATGTGAGTTGTGTGGTGAAAATTACTGGATTGTTTCTAGTTTAGTAAGATTTTTTTCTTCAAGGGAGTTTAAAATATCGGCGTAAAATTAGGTAATGCGTTTTGGCAGCGTCCTTACCTACGTTTGGTAACTTGGCTTTCTTTGCGCTGTCACCACTCGCATTGGCAGTTTTACTCAGTCGCTTTTTTTGCCTTAGAACTATTGTAATGCCTAATACAAAGAATCTAGCTAGTCTTCAAATGGGACTAGAAGCATGCTGTTTTGTTGCTTATGCTGTGCCAGTCATCGCAACTCTTTACCTTGCATCGATATACCCGAAGTCGAAACTCACTCAAAAACACTCAATAACAACGTTACCTGAATAAAAATACTTCGCGTCGATGAAAACTAGATGGCCGTGTTGGTTTTAAGTCGCCTCTCCGTAAATGTGGCGCACTTCGTCAGGGTTTTGTTTGTTGTATAAAAGAGCGTAGTGCAGTCGGAAGTGGTATTAGGGACGCTTTGGCAGGTACATCCACCAGAAGACGAAATTTCACATTAAGAGGCTTCTTAAAAGCGATTTGGCGGTTCAGGTCACAGGCTCTTGTCAGTGCCTCTTCAACCTCGACGCCAGTTAATTCTGCATGACGTATTTTGGCACTGCGAGCCAAACTCATTCTTTGTGATGCTAAGCGTCACCTTGACCGATGAGCTAGCTCACAGCATTTGCACAGCTCCAATTCCGAAGCAACCAGACGCTTGGAAACCAATCTAAAAGTGACACGGCTGTCGGTACACGCATCTCGAAGTTCAAAAATACTTGCCCCTAATGTCTAGCGACGTACTTCTGTGCTTTGCTTTTACCAATTAAACTCAACTGCTGATGCTCGTAAAATGTGACGCCTCTGTGTGTGTGTATGCCGTTGTTTAATTAAATCGAGTAAATATATCGGCAAAGTGTGCAGTGGGTCTTGGTTTACAGTTATTTGAACATTGTAGTTTTACACCCTCAATGTGTTCTCCAGTTATGTGTGCTTTGTGAATTTCGCAAATAGTCCCCTTAGTAGGAACTCGAATACTAGGTGACTATGGGCCCAATAAGGCTTCTGAGCGTTGCGACATCTGTTGACCGGTCTTTGTTAATTCGTTTCCGGTTTGTAAGCGTGGGTAAAGCATAATGCACTGCTACGTTGCGGGTTTACAGTACGCAGAGGTAACTGAAGAAGTGGACTCTCTTGCAGCATCACGGTTGTGTCGGACTCCTGTTAGTTGTCGTAGGTTCCGGGTTTTCATACAAAACTTCCCTCATCAGCAGGATACTTGCCTCTAAAACCGTCTGAAGCAAACTTTATCAATATCCATAGACGAACCGAATCGTCATGGGATATGGCTACCGTTTTCTTCCACTTGGACATTACATACGGCGCGTCTTTATCTAATTGCTATTTTCATTGATGCGATCGCTGTTGCCTCATTGTCGGCCGAACCGAAACTGTCAGCGGTCCGATGTCTCACATTTTCAATTAGCTTGGATTTTGAACACGGTTACTTGCATTGGAATGATCACCTTGGTCCACTACAGAATTAGCGTTGCTGTATTATCTAAGCGAGACCAGTTACTCTTTTGCGATGACTCTTTTTGTGTTGGATCCGTACTCAATGACCCCAACCACTTATTTAAACTGATGATTACCCTCCTCAATTTCACCCTTTTTTAACTTTGATTCTGTTTGCCCTAGTTGGAACAACGTATTTTCCACACCTTCCATCGTCAATTGTTCTGTAGCATTGACAGTTGGCATGGTCTTTCAATGGACGACATTCGCCGACTAGAAGCGCAGACCAAGTTAGAGCTCGACAAGGTACGTTTTGGGTCACGTTGCTTTTGAGTTTGAGTTCTTCAAACTGAAGCGTGATATTCCTGTCCCAGCCTCGATCCGTCGCTTACTTTGATGTACTTGCGACAAATTGTAACTGGTCCGAAGTGGCCTTGAAATTTCCTCATTTCCTCCACTTCTATTTCGGCAGCTGGATTACGATGTGATAGTGGTATCATCATTTATCTACGAGAGTGCGTTCAGTCTCACTCCGAGTCGATTTGTTAAGTTACCAACAATTGCACCTTCTTGTTTCTCGGTTACTCCAGTTTTTGTCTGTCGTCGGTGGTTTAAATGCATCCGCCGATTGCGAACAAACTGCCGGATTCATTTTGCAAGTTAGGCGTAAACCGATGGTCTGGTGCCTCATGCTCACGACACCTACCTCCCTTTCACCTTTCTGCTTGTTTTTCAGCAACGCAAGGAGGGAAAAGTTCAAGGCACGATAGAAACCAGCTAGGCTCAGGGCCCCAAGATCCCGCGTTCTTTTCCCCCTCCGCAGTTACCACGCGCCCCATTTTATCCCTTCAGTTTCAGTCCCTGTCCTCTTACTTTTGTGCCGCGTCACTTATTGTTGTATTTGGAGGTTGTATTTTCACAGTGCCCAGTATCATTGTCATCCTTGTATTAGCAAAACCAGCCTATGACATCGCTATGTACGGATATGTAATTACTTGTGAATAAAAGTTGCGTCTTGTGTCTTGTGATACATTTCAGTGGTTTGATTTTAACCAATGAGATTCGATTGCTATGCCCCCAAAGCGTGCTCCAGTTATGTGCGTTCTGTGGCTTTCGCAAATCATCCGCCGGCCTTTTCCAGAAAGATTTACAGTCATACCACACTGTGTACGCGTGGGATTTAAGATTTAACGCTAAACAGGACATGTGTGCCCATCAAGATACTGGCGTGGACTTGCAGATTGAGACCAATTATTTTCTGGCCGAAAGGCATTTAGAGTGCTTCGATTAATGGCGACATAAACTGTTCATGGCCAATTTAAGGCGTCCGCGGTGGTGCGGTGCCCTACAGATGGTCCAAGGCTTGTTTACGCTCCAGTGTCACCCATTTTAAGTCTTTTATCAGCACCATTTCGTTGTGATTAGTCTCATTCCACAACGCTGCACTCAACTCACAGCTCGACGAATCAAAGTTGAACCGCATGTTTAATTTGCGTTTGGGATCGGGAGTAATAAATGGCGTGGACGTTTTCGTGTGCGATTGAAAGTAAATCACTTAAATGCACCGCAAATGTAACGGGACTTTTCGCAAAGTTATGCTTGTATGCAGAGCTTCCTGATCTGATCTATACGCATTCAAGCTGGCTTTAGTAAATGAAAACCAGAGCGTCCAGTTTTTGGAGCCGCTTACTCACCAAATCCTCGCCTGGATCCGGTATGTTGAATGAACTTTTCCGGGTATCTACTTGATGACTGTTGTGGGTAGTGTTTCCAACATTGAAGGTTCCTTTGCTAGCCTGCTTGTCGGAATTTATACTTGCGTGTTATCCCTTCACCCTTGTCTCTCCTCAACTGTCCGAATGTCATCCATCGGCGTGTTCATTCACAACGTTTAATTTTTATTTGAACGGCTATCGTCTACATGCAGTTTAGACATCGCCAAATATGCGATTCACGGGGTTTCTAAAATTTACATTTTAAAGCTGCTTCTTTTCAAGACCAAATATTTGGTGCTGGTTTGCTGCGTACAATATTTAAAATCGCATTTCGTAATCTTGGATGACTACATGCAACCAGTCACATTGATTTTTAGGAATTTCACTGTATTTTCATATAAAGCACATTTTAAGTCACTTAGAACTTACTTTAATCTGATCTCAAACAAAACCGTTCAATGTTGTATAGCCACGATTATTCACGCTCCTTTCAACCAAACCGTGTAAAGACGAAGCGTGCCATCATTAGGCAGTAGCTAACGCCTTCACCTCGCTCTTCAGGCATCGTTTCGCAGACATAAAATTGGGGCGTTTAAAAAAAACTTAGCTCGGGCGGGAGCTACTGCTGTGTGGAGGATGCCAAGCAGGGCTAATTTCCATAAAAACCCACAACAATCACTGATGCTTATTTCAACTTTGATTTGCCGTTTCTGCCCCTAGCAAAGGACTAGAAGTCGTCCACCTTATGCGGCCAAACAAATTCGTGCTTACACCGCCAAGTGTGCTAGCTGGAGCTAATACCGACTGCAGCCAAGCCTCTTTACAACTCAAACCCCCACCTATTACGTCGCCACTACAGTTGTCGGAGAAATTTTGAAGCTACACCTTGTGGAAACGGGAATCAGTAGCCTTACAGGCCCAAGGCAGACACCGTGTCATTACACACGATAATAACTCATGGTTAGGCTTGTGATAGTGCGTTTCACTTCAGACACCGACCGACACGATTGTCAATACAACGGCACAAACGGTCGGTCAAAAAATCAAGATGACTGAGGGTCCTCTGCTAATACACAACTCAATTATACCGACTAATTCGACCAAAATCACCTACTTAAGACAACTAACACGCGGTTAGTCTCAAGCACTTTACTATAAAAATGTAATTAAAGCCATTGGTTTAAAAAGAAAACGAGAAATCACAGATAACACAGAGCGAGAGAGAGAGAGAAGAGTTGTACATTAGAAGGACCCAGGTCGACGGTTGTCCTGAGCGTAAATTTCGTTCAACTGCGTCGTATAGTCGCTCAATGCTAGACGAATAATGCCTTCAAGGAGGCAGTGCACAAGACGCCGGTTGAGGTGGGGCTGTTGGAGCAGGTCGAAGACCCTCTGTACGCCCTCTCGTGTCGTCTCTATGCCCAAGTAGGAGGCAAGTTCCTCTGCAAGAAGAACGAAATTAAGACGAGGTGGTCGGTCTGACAACATAGCGCGCCTCGACTAGGCTCTAAGCAAGCAATGGATCATAACGAAGACAAGCTATACACTACGACGCCTCAACTTGAAATTTTTCACGAGTATGAAGTCCTGTAGCAACTGAATGGTCATTATGACTCGAGAGGTGAGGGAATAGCTCCAGTCCAATACCTAGTCTTAATACTCATCGACTGATGCATCGATCTGCTATTGTTTAACAATCACAAAGATGATTGACAAGCAACCTGTTTTCGTACGCTCTCGAAGCTGCGCTATGATTTCGGCAGTGCCTCTTTGAATTAGAGAAATGCCTGATTTCGTGTTCAACATGAGTAAACTCCACTGTGGTCGAACCTCGTACGAGGAAAAATCTGCCTTGCCAAGTTGCCTCTCTGTTAAGACTTCGAGTCCTTCTGCTGAACCTACTCTAACAAATCTCGCAATGTTTCGAAAGCAGCAGAATGCAGAACCGAGCTTCGTTCCCAAACTATAGGTGTAATTAGGTTGCAAAATCGTGGGAGCGAAGATCGCTCGGCATCCCTATCCGCGCAAACCCATACTGCAACAGTATTTTGACGCATCAATTGCGCATTCAAATGCCTTCTTGTCTCACGCTTTCCACATCAAACGAGCAGTGTTGGAAAAGGTGGGGAAAAAACAAACAGTGGCGTATGGGGCAGCCTTTCGGCTTACCAGCAACACTCCCGAACATGACAGCACGGCACAGAATGCGAGTTCGCAGTTTCATGGCCTCATTCCGTGTGGACGAAGTTGGTGAGCTGGCGGAGCCCTCTTTGGCCGGATTCTCGCCGGCCGATTCTGCCCTCGGACCGTTCGGCCACAGCACGTCGCAAAGCATGCCGGTGTAGACGGCGATCTGTTTGGCGCTTATCAAATGCTTCGCCTGGAATGCAACAAGACCTGACTTGTTTGAGTACAATGCAAATACATCGCGTACTTCGGCTAACCAGTGTATGTAACCATTTGACTCGACTTGTCTGCGCAATTCAATACTGACAATCGAAGAGAGCGAATTACCGAAGGCAAAAAGTCTAAGCCTCCCGACAGGCAGGTGGCGCGTGTAGCTATTTTTGTCCTGTAAAGGATTCGTGTTTGCGAGAGCCTGTTCGAAAAGGTTTGTCGCAAGATAATTTTCTCTGTGACTCATGCTCACGTACGCGTGCACAATGCAGTATCACGTTCAGCAGCCGTCTCCATCGTCGTGTTGCCTTCTTTGTTCTGGGGTTCCTAGGGCGCCACTGGACAACAGGATGGTAATGTAGCTTGCTAACTCCCATTGTGTCCTCATACTTTTTATTTCCTTAAAACCTATCATCACCAAGGCGGCACATTAAAAAGCCGTATAATTATATGTAGAATCACGTTGTCTGACAGGGACACTAATAATAAATGGAAGTTGTCTGGAGCCCTGCGTAGGGTAACAGACCAAGGCGGAATCATGCACAAAGGGGATCTAAAACGGAATGTGAGGTAAAGTCGGACCCTCGCACCCTAACCGTTTGTTGGAGAAAGGGGCCCTATCAAGTAAACTAAGCCTGGAATTCAAATGTGTCAGAGTAATCGGTCAAATATCGCGAAGCTTGAGTTCCAAGAAGTCCCGCGATCTACAGATAGTACGAACAAAATCAGCCAATAGCGTGCCGAGTAGAATCTCACAATGACGCTGTTGGATGGTTGGTTTAAATGTTGCGCTCAGTATTTTGGTTTTATCCAATATCCTCTCATGTGTTTTAAAGTTCCATTTACACAACTGCACTTAAGGTTGTTAGGCCAAACACGCTTACTTAAAAACAAAAATACGCACGTTCTCACTCCCGCGAAATGCCAAATATCGGTAGATCAATTCTGGGAGAAGCAAATTGTGAAGGGGCTGGGGGCTACTGTTATTCGGAGCACTTACCTTTTCTATAATCTTGCGATTCATTATGTCTCCGAAGAAGGTCTGTACGATGTTCCTCAGGATGGTCAAGGTGCCGCGACGAAACAGTTGCGTCTTTCTTTGCAAATTGAACACCTCATCGACGAGCATAAACAGGAGACGGAATGGAATGTTGTCAGAATCCGTCTACACGGAGAGAGAGAGGAGGGAACATATTATCAACGTAAATTTGAATTTTAGTAAAAGATTTTCGAGAGAATGCATTGCTCAGGTGTTTTAGATAGGGCTGAAACGGTCGAAGCAAAGTTTACAATGAAAAGTTCCACTTTTCACCAAGCAAAGAATTGAGAAAGAGACAGGATCGATCGCATAAGTCCAGCCATTGAGATTCAAATTAAAGTACATCATGACGAGACGGTGCCTTGGGGCAACGAGAACCACCCATGTGCCCCAATGAGCTCGAGGTTGATCATTTTTTTAGAAGTTGAGCAAACAGAACAGCAGTTTCATTCAAAACCACGCTAACCTGAACTGGAACCGTTCCGCTCTCTGTAGACACCTGCTAAATTCAACCTCAGAACCCAGACTAACTCTAGTGCCTTAACAGTGGTTTGCAAGTAGATCAGAAAGCGAGACTACCTGGTCCAGGATGGTAAGATTGGAGGTGTAACCGTCGTTGAAGAGGGGAGCTCGACCACCAAGGGCACCGTTGGTCTCAGATCGGCCTGGTACCTGCCCCGGCGACCGTCGGTTTATCATTTTTGAGAAACCGTCAAAAAGGGTGTCCGGAACGGATATTATGGCCGAGCCGACAGCTTTTAGAGGATTCACTAGTGAAGAAACCTGGCAAAACAAGGCACGCAAAACGCTGGTCACTTCTGCGTAACACCAAATTTGTCACCGGTCCACACACTTTCCCATACTGGCTGGGGGATAAGTGAACTCTTCATTTCGGCGTGCTATCAAAACAAATACACCATAAGTGCAGCTTTGAAGTTTTGCCAAAGACGGACGCACCTTCAAAGTACACAGTTGCGGCAGAGCAGACGCGAAATACCATGGAATAAACGGCATAATCCAATGTAAGAACACGCTTTAAGCTCGGGTTTTTGCAGAACTCTCTACCAAGCAATATACCCGAAGAAGCTCAAACTGGACATGGTAGAATAGGGAAGTGCGTTGACGCTGATAAAAACGGAGGCAAATAGGTGTAAAGACACACTGCTTTAACGTACACCAGAAGGCAAGGCTTTCTTCCGCTCCCAATTCTCCGGCTGTAGAAAACTCACGAGAATCGGGTGCAGTTTGGGATATTTGCCACTTGCGTCTAGGCAACAGAGTGTCTGCAAGGTAAAAACCAGAAAAGGGCCTCCTCGTATGCCAAGCATGCGAGTTTTTTTAAACAAAAACCTGTCCTTGGCCATGAAAAAACATGCAAGTTTTTGGACCTGAAATTACCTGTCCAAATGTCCACGCCCAGGAAAAAAAGCAGACTACGGCTGGTCCCAAGTTCTTATCGCCGTTCTCGGTGTTATCATACAAATGCCACAAGCACGACGTGCTGTGCAAATTCTAAGATTTAAATTTCCATCATACATTTTTAAAAATCCGACAAATTTGCACCACTGTGGTACTCAATAATGCGATAAAATGCGATTACGTGGTCTGCGTCCACCCATCCAACAGTCTTTTTCGATTGTGCCGACAAGTTTATTAGTAAATTGATTTTTTAATGAATGCGGCGAACTAGGATCTAGTCACGGGACGGTAATTTTGATGACATTTACGCATTATCATAACCGCGGTTGAGGAAGAAGAAGAAGAAGGAACGTGTGGAGGGTGGGTTAGGTTACCTGGAGGTATTCGTCCAGTTCGAAGCGTCTTTTCTCGATGAATTCACTGCTAACATTGCTAAAAGTCTTCTTCGAAGGCAACTTTAAATTTGGAATTCGGCCACACTAAAGTACAAAAAAGCGCCAGAAAAAAATGCATGACAAACAAGGGGTGATGTCGAGGGAGGGGCGTTAGACGCGCGAAACTTGCCAGTCGTTTCGCACACCCACGGGACCCCTACCTGTTCCACAATGCACGAGTGTAGATCGTCGAATTGGCTGTAGCGACGGTAGGTCCGCCAGACCGACTTGCGATCGGAGATGTTGGAAGTGCAGGTTACCTCTACTGTGTACGCGACGTAGCCATCACGGACCATTTCTAAAGCAGAACGATGCACAAGAGACGCCGTGACAGGTCGTCGAACTGACCAGGAATTTAACTCAAGTCCTAACAAAGTTACGTATTTATTTTGTGGTGAAGCGGCGTTGAATGCAGAACGTTGAAAGCTTGTGTGAATTCTTCTGTGGTTCCTCGACACTCAAGAACTCTTGGAATGCTCTCAATTGATGCCCGAGTCTAGACAGGATTTCAGATGAACTGACGCACACACACACGCAATCACACTCTACTTCTGTGGATTGCTCAAATGAATAGCGTTATAAGGGTGCTGGGAATGCGTGTAAGGGGCCGGTAAAGAGGTAAAAGGGTGAGCCTTAGAGTGGTACAGATGACGAAAGTTATTAGAAACAGAGAACGTACCAGATGCTTTAGAAAAAAAAGAAAGCCAACACAACCTGGATTTTTATAAACAGTGGCCTACAAACTATGCCTAAACATGATGAAAGTTTAGGAAAAAAATGTTATTACAAAGGGACGGTAAAACAACAGCCGTCTCAGGACGGCAGTAGAGACGGCCGATGGATCGCTGTTTATTGCGGACACAAAAAACCCACCACGTAATGTCGCCAGGGCCTAAGCAGGAAGGGCTACGTCGAGCCACAGGAGCGATCAAAATCCTGGTCTTAATTTTCACTGTCCATGACAAAGCCGCTCGGCTCACACCTCTGGCGCCTTCGATGATGGTGATGATGATGATGACAATAATAGGCCAAAATCACAAGTTAAGTCGATTTAAGCATTATTCTAATAGAACTTGGGCAAAACCAGTCAATTTGCCCAAAAAATGGTTAAGCCTGTGTGAGCAGCATGAGAGATTAGTAACAGCGCTGGCCTAGAAAATAAGGCTTAAAGCTTTAAAAGTGATAGCAAGGCGATGACTGGACGAGGAGGTACGAAATAAAACGCAAATCGTTACGGTCATTGTTAAAATCGTTTAGGCCGTTCTGATGACGTGGAATTGAATGAGTTTTTCAAGAAACCTTTTGTAGTGAATCGTGCTGATGCCCGTCCATTAACCCAGTTGTCGCATTCCCCGCCACATCGGCATCTTTTTCACGCGAAACCGTCTACTCATACACCCTCCCCCCACACATGCTGCTCGTCTCATTAGTCTGGCCTCTTAGCCATTAGTACTTTTACAGACCCGCCCAGACCGTATTCGACAACAACTCAATTTAATCAGACTGGGATTTTTTAAGCGCAGTGGAGCGGCAGTCGCGACTTGGCTGAGGCGTCGAATGAACCGTCGAGTCTCTTCCGTGGGGGTTTTGCGTTGTACCGTGCCGCGACAAATTAGTGACCCCTACGTGGTTCACGACCACATATCGGGACAAAACAGACCAAACGTTATCATTACTTGGATAATTTTGGTGAATACAAAACTCGTTTTGGAGAGAAGACAATTGGCGAATTCGGTGTCTAGATTAACTGACCACGACACCGCTGTGACGTGCTGATACGCCGCCTCGCCTACCAACCTGACACAAAGCTATAACCGGCTGTTCAAGGGCCGCAGCGAGATGTCTCCAAGTAAACTGCCAACACAGAGGGCTGACCATCGAGTGACATGGTCTAATGCCGCACCTTTACTCTACTCCACTTCACGAACACCCAATGAACTCAAGTAAAGCCTTATTTGAAGTCATTTTCACAGAAATAGTGTGTGACACGGCATTCAGAAACGACTGTTAGCACCGTGACGGAGCAAGCTTCGTCGCACTTAGATGGTGAGAAAATTGGCTTATCCACAGGTTTCAGTTGAACGGCGTTAGTGTGTGTGAAAATCAACGGGCTCATGACGAGTTTACAGCGGTGTGAATGGATTCGACCTAGGTTATCTGAAGGGGTCCCGTTGTCGCCATGGCAATGAAAATGCACGCTGGTGAATGGGTGGTTTGGCAAATAAGACGTGGTGTGCGTGCGCGCGCGCACACACTCGAGGGGAACGTAAAAAAAACTCACCGGCATGCAAATCAAGGGGCCTCAGCGACACTGCATGGACCACTAAATGGAAGTTAGACGTCAAGCAGTGCAAAGTAAACTGTTTCTTAGTGAAGAAGACCACTACAATGTCGAGGGTGGATGCGGTTTTGACGACTAGGTGGTGGGAGGGGCCGGCAATGGCTCAAACCAACCTTGCACATCATCATGGCACAGATGCCAAGTCACGATGATTGCCTCATTGACGAATGAAATAAATCGTGCCAATAATGTGCATCCACTTCGAGTGCGAGTAGCAAGTCGTAGGAAAAAACAACAACAAAGGAAGATGGTAAGGCACAGCGCATACAACTCACCACCAGACAGAACACTCGCGCGGTACGAATCGGCAAAGTAGGGCGGTGATGATGATGATGACGATGATGCTGAAGACGCTGCCTAAAACGGATACGGGTGGACGTGCAAGTGGCTTTTTGTGCATTGGCAATCACCGGAATTCAAAGTTGTCGATTCAAGTAAGTAATTGGTATATGGCTTGATTTTCACAGATTTTTCAGCGAATTTATTTAACATAAAAAATAGATAACAACGAAGTTAATCTCGGAAATATTGTGCATCATTTCCTACGACCTTGCGCCTTCTCTCGGGTAACGTACAAATGCCGTGGCGATAGAATCTTGCAGGCTTCGAGGCAGTAAAGTCGATGACGACGAATTTACACACATAATCCAGGGTTTTGAACCGTTTACCCACTAAGGCGTGTTGATGCATTGCCTGAAACAAATGGTAGTTGAATGGAGCCAAGCCCGATGAATAGGCCACAAGTGGGAAAACTCTCCATCCCGAGTTTACGAGGGCCTTTTGAGTCGCATGAGGTACGTGAGGTAGTCGAGCGTTGTCGTGTAGCAGCGGTATGACTCGCTTGCTTCCTTGCCCACTAAACGGCCTTTTCTGATCAAGTTCTTCCCTCGGTTCGTTTGATTGTCGTCTGTGACGTTCCGCAGTCACCGTCTGATCGGTTTCCAGTTCATAATAAAGTAATCCTTCATGTGTCACCACCAGATAAACAGGAGAACCTTCTTCAAGTGGATGTCCTGTTTTGGAATCTACCCACGACTGTTTCCGTTTTGGGATCCTCGTAAAAAATATACTTCCCATCACCGGTCACAATTGTCCACAAGCTCTTTTTTTGTTACCGGAGGGCAAGCAGTGAAAGGCATGTGGGGCACTTAGCTTCCAAGTTTTTGAGCTTTTCCCATTTTGTGCATGCGCTTCGAAATAGCTTTTTGGGTGACTTCAAACTGAACTGCAGGCTCGTGCTGCAATGGCGCTGAGTCTTCATCCAGCAGAGCTTGCAATTCCGCATTTTTGAACTTACGAGGCTGCTGTCCGGGGCGCGACTGGTCACTTAGGTCGAAATCACCACCTCTACAACATTTGTGCCAATAACTACACAACGTCAGCACAAAGAACACTGCAAATTGAGTCTCGTGCTTTGAAAGCAATTTCTCCTTGTTGGAGTTCGTGTAAAGTGCAGTGCCATTGAATGTGCTGTTTATCAGTTGCCATGGTAAACTCTGTCATTAAGAGACGTTCGTTCGGTTTTCTGGAATCTTGCATCCGACCCTTTCACAACCCCAAAAGTCCGCAGATATAAATTTTCCCTTAGCGATAATTTTAAGCTCGAAAAATCTGCACAAACTAAGCCGTACATGGGAGGAAGTTGATGGCATGCTTCCATTAACATTTTAATGACAGAACGTTTCCCATGCGATTGAGAACAAAGGGCTTAACAGAACAAAGAAGTAACTCGTGACCAGTAAAACAATTAGACTGCGACGGCACTCTCTTACCTCGTTTCACAACCGAGCAGTACTGTAGTGAAATCATGTTTACTTTAAAGAAAAGACGTGAAATAGGTTAAAATGGACGAACCGAAGATGCCGGAGGTTGTGAGCTTGTAGTGTTCGTTTGGGAATTGGCTAAAAGCAGAAAAGCAGCTTGATGGTATTTGCCTGATTAAGTATTAATACAAAAAGCAGCTTCGCTAAGGCAGGAGGTGGAATTCGGCTGGCATTCGAGGCATTTTAGCATATTTTGACACTCCAGAATGGCTAGCAAATTGCCAGTGGTTGTAGGCCAAAACCGAGGTTGGCTCACCCCATTTTTTGGGATTTTTGTGCCTTGATCGCTTCCGTCTCTACCTCTAAACCAACCAGAGGAGCACCAACGGACGGCATCTGGTTGAGGAAATAGGATCTAAAGGAATTACTGCTAGCCAGATAAACCAAAGTCCCCCTGACAAATCCCTTTTCCAAACTAGCCCCATTTTTGGTATAACAAATCACATCAGTAAAAATCAGCTGAGAAGGGGGCCGAATAAGACTAGAACCACAAGACAGCACCCTACGAAAAGTGCAAGAGACAAAGACTAAGAAATCATACGGCAGTGAAAACGAAGGTCCCCTTCAGACCCACCTATTATTGACGACTGCGAGGCACCCCGAGAGGAGACGGAAGCAGAGGAAGTTGTCGAAGTCGTGTCCGAGGTTTCGTCGTTGGCGGGTGCGGCGGCCTTGTCGTCTAGTCGATTTGCCTTCAATCGACGAGGCGAGTCCGCCAACATCTCCGGCAGTCCGATTTCATCCAAAGTGCGAGCATAAAAGGGACTTTTTTTGAAGGCTCCAAAGCAATTCTCGGCTGTGAGCATCCGCACTAACTGTTGTGTTATGAATATTAAAAAAAAGCTTAAACTGGCGTGGTTGTTGACAACCAAAGTGTTCAACTGCTGTGTGCTTGCTGCTAAGGCGTTAAGTGACACCATGTAACTCATCTAGATTAATTCCAGTGCACATTGCGCTTGGGATTACTTATTGTTACGGTTATTATGCTCTTTCCATCTGTACCTGTGGTTTTACTGTTCCAGCTCGGTAATTGAGCGCCAATTCGAACTCACTAACCAATTAAACCAGCCCCACACGCTACCAAATCAATACCTTCTTCATTCAACCTTACCTGTTGTCAGACGTGCATTTGTAATTAGTGCTTCTAATTTAGGACGCCGTGCATAATTCACTTTTATGATCTACACAGTTTTTGTTTTGCAAATGCATTGGACCTTCAAGTGGCGAATCGCAGTGCGCTTGTGCGGACACAAAAGTCAAGACCCGCTGAAAACAGGCACTGTCTGTAACGAGGATCTGTCGGTGAAAGGACGGCGAAAGCAGAACCAATCACCATGAAAAACAAAAAACTACCGCTTGAATGCAGATTCGGGCAAAAAACAGCACGAGTTGAACTTAAATTACAGACAACCTTCAATACGAATTTCAAGCGGATGTGATCAAAAAACTTCCATGGAATTGAAAACCGCATCAGACCTGGACTTCAAACGACGAAATTGACAACCCAAAAATGTCTGACGGAAGTAAAACTATCACCACGGCTTCCCTATTTAGTAACTTATTTAAATCCGGCCTCTAGGATATTTCCGTTTTCAAAAGCAGAGTAAACAGTTCGCGACACCAAAGGCACTATTTTCTGCCTGCCCTCGCATCCAAAAAGCCGAAACTCAAGCGCGCCATTTACTTCTTCCTCGATCGCCAGGAAGACAGTGGGATCGATTGATTCAAGGGGCGTAGTGAGGTTCCGAATGCATCGGTGGACCGTCTCCTCTGAGACCTGGGGCAGGGTGCGCATGATGATGTTGCACATGGAGACCCCGAACGCCCGGATGCCCTCCATGGCTTCCCTGTCCTGTGGCGAGAGTGTAGTGGCTGCGGCAGGAGCAGGAGCAGCAGCTGGAGCAGCGCCTGTCGTGTCCGCAACGAATTCCGGGCCGGTGGAAAAATGGATTCCGTCATCGCCGTCTTCTACGCTTTCGAAAACCGCGTCATCGGAAGAGATGGAGGTCATGAGCTCTTCGGAGTTCACTCGGTACGCCTGCAATGAAGAAATCACCAATCTACGTCGTAGGCTGCTGTGTTGCTTCGGGCAGCCGAGGTACATCGTATTTCACAAATATTAGGAACCATATCGGCTGGTAAACACGACTTCTTGGATATCAGTCGATTGATGTTTGTTGTTAGGCATTGCTCCCACTGTGAACATCTCAAAATAGCAATTATGAAACCCAATGCTATGCTGGGATGATTGTTGTACGGAATTAGACTAAGTCAGAAGAAAACGCAAGGTTCCATCGGAGGCCACATAGATGGTCTTTGTTACTACCAGAAGGATACACTTGAGGGTGATAGGGTCGTTCTGCATTTTACGCTCCCGAATTCGGAAGGGGAAGAACAGATCTCCAACACTCTGGCAAATCAACGGTGGCTAATGGACCATAGTATGGCAGTGTGGAAGGTGAATGAGATTGACAAGTCAACTTACTACGCAATTTAAGTACAGACTGAACAGCGACTGCTCGTTGATTGAGGTGAGGAATTCTAAAAAAAAGCAAAGGAAAAATAAGTAAGGAGCTTCAGCGCACGGAATTTAACCTCCACGTTCCCGTTTTGATGCATGACCAGTAAAAAGCCGAATGTGACTCCCGAAGGGTCTGCTGTGTGAAGGGCTTGATCACCTTAGAAATTTCCACACAGAGATGGATTTGCCTAGAATTCGTCGTTTTAGGAGTAATTATGAGCCTGTCATTACAAAGGCAGTTATTAGAAATAATTGGGCGGTAGCGAGGCTGCGGTAACCAAAGTGGTCTGTGACAAAGAACTAAAGGCGTCAACACCGCGAGGAGAAAAAGAAGCCCACGTTTAGGCAGCACCCTAAACCGCTACGAGGCATCTTACCTAGGAAGTTGGAAACAGCAACATCGCTGGCCATAACATCGTCAAAGGTGAGGTCAACTGTCCGGGACAGGGCATCCGATTCCGTGGTGCCATTCTAGAAAGAAGGCAGGGTACACGGTTTGTTGGCTCGAAGAGGCCTTCACGGTTAGCTACTCGTGTAAGTAGGGTGTTATGGCTGCACAAGTGAAAACCACGCTTGACTTTGATTGGCTAGAAAGCAAGCAGTAGCTTACAAGAAGGCCACTTAGACGTGCCGCACACTGCCAACAGCAGGTTATATTCAGTGGAATGAATAGATTTGAGAGTACAACAACCTGGCCTTTTACGTGAACAGAAATTCACACACACACACACACACACACACACACAATATAATTCTAAGTTCACATTTATGCTTTGCTTTCTGCCTGATCTAACCCAATTCGCAACAACAGTGAGAATGGGTAGCCTGATTCTAAGACGAAGGCCAAATTAAACGCGCAATTCAAAATAAGCTTGCGTCACACGTAGTTGTAGCATAGCAAGCCTACATTAATAATGATACTGCACAGAGTATTTAACACTGACAATCCACCTGGCAAATAGCGCGCTTTCTTGCAGATCCACCAATGGGAAACTGAAAAGCATTTGGTTCACGGGGAAAAAAAGACTAACGTTTAGCGCACCATGAGAAGCATTAAGCGTCCCCCTTACTTACCTTCTGTTGCCTCTTTTTACTAGCCTAAAACATTTTGTCGGGAGAATAATGGAAAGGGAAATTCGACAAGGCGGTGAAGGAAAAGGCAGGAGAGAGACGAAGGGCATTCATGTCAGTTGGCAATGGTGATGATGATGGCGATGATGATGATGATGATGGTGGTGGTGGCAAATAATCAGTGAAAAATGCCTGCTGCATAGACACTCACCTCTCGTTGTCTTCTTGAAAGGGCCTACAGGGTGTGGAGCAACGAAAATTGCCACGACCAGGCTTAGCCATGCTCACCTTGTACCCACTCCTCCCCCTCCACCTCCTCACAGTCGAAGTCACACGGGGAACTACGTGTACTTCAGAACTTCCATACTCAACCACTTGAAATAACGCAGGTATTTGAGCCTACGAACTTTTACCTTACACGAGAGGCGGTTGCGAGTGAATCCATGACAAGCTCATACACCTCACGATTAAACACTACGGAAAACAGTGGGCAAAAAGAATAACACGACGGTCTTTGCTTATCAAAGTGCATCCCACATAACATATCGGGTAACGTGTTAGCGAATCAAATAAGTGAATAATCAACTCACACGAAGATCCGACTTCTGTGACAGTCCCCGTTTAATTAGCGCGATCTGCGAGTTGCAAATGTTCTCCAGAAAAGCCAGACTGTTTATTTGGGCTTTCACTAGTGTGTCTGTGAGCAGTAAGTGGGAAAAAGAACGGAGAATGAATGAACCACGGCAATGGACACGATCATGGCGTGACAATCGCTCTCAACAAAAGGACACATCAACGTGAGGTGTTTGCTTAAGTGAAGCGTTTACGTTGCACCCTCAACGATGGAGCTACCGTATCAGATAGAAGAGTAGGAGGTAACTTAATTTCTTGATGTTCAGTACAGTAACTTCAGCGTTTCAACGCTCAGATATGTAAACCACGCATTAAAAAAATGAAAACTTAATACTTAAGCTGAGGAAATCAAATTACCATCATCACCGCCGGAATCGCGACCGCGTAGTTTCACAGAAAACGCCTCAATACGCTCCTTAACTGCCATCAATTCGTCCTCCCGAGTAGACATTTTCAAGGACTGGATAAAGTAGGGACTTGTAAACGCCGACTCATTGCACTAAAAGCATGAACGTTAAACAAGTTCGCATTTCGTGAAATGATAATAATCAGTCTACGCAAATAATAATAAGTAGGACGTACTAATTTAATGATCGATTGATTCACGAAGTCCGGATCGGCGAGGATATCCACAGTGGGTAGAAGTATGCCATTAACAAGTATTTCCTGCCAAAAGGATTATAAATGGACTTAATTACCTTAAGTAAATATCGGAAAGTCGGTATCCGATAATCCTCCTCGGGCATTATAGCAAAAAGGAACACATCAGTTAGTCTGCGAAGGTGGTCTAAAATTGTTCAGCGGTTAAGACCTCTATCACCGCGTACTTAGCTCCAACTTTCGTGAAGTGCAAATGCTTTCACGACAGACAAACCTTTCTGCCTCAAACTCCTCATCGAAAAAGAGTTTAATTTGCTCTGAAGAAAAAAAGCATGTGATAAGGGAAAATATTTTTCATCAAGAACCTTCAGGACTAGCGTATGGATTTCTCTCGAGAGCTCTGCGATGAATGCGCAAGTGCTCGATGACCAAATTCGGGACGCCTTCAATCACGAATGGCACCCAATCGACACGCTTTGCCCGGTTAGAAACCTCGGCTAGTAGCTGCGCCATTGCCGCGTGCAAGTGATGGGGAAACTCAGACTCGCTTGTCAGTGGAGTGTACCAGAAGCGGATGTAGTCCTCGATGACATACTCAAGCAACTGCAATGCATAAGGTGATGTGCCAAGTACACTGCATTACCTGATTGAGTACATGATCAAGCTCTGGACAGCCTGATATTGCATAACTACCCTTCTTCTGGAATGATTTTGGCTGGAGTTCTTCAATCTAGCAAAATACTTGTTGAACACAGAAAGGATACCTTAATCAGTCCTCGAGATGTGGGGATTTTACGCTTTAGAGGAACCCACTGAAGATCGGGAAGAAAAAGAAGAAACCTATGCGAATGACGGTAAGTAAAAATTCCAATGTACCCTGCTGCGAATGAAATAAGACCGCATATAAGGTACACGAATACACCCACTCCGTAGGTGAGCAACGAGCCGACGAGCGCCAGCAAAGCTAAATTCCTCAATGTAGGCATTTCATCTAAGATATAAGCAACCATACAAGTAAAGTCAATTTGTAATGTTGAAAAAGTAAACAAAAAAACATAATTATGTAAAACACCGAAGTCTTCACAGAAACGTGGTAAATAACATCAAAAATGTACCAGGTTAAGTAAACGAACTAAGACAATTAATAATAAGCAATGGATTGTAAAGCGTGTCATCGAAACCGATTTGACAAACTGGTAGCAGCAGCACGAGCAAAAGGTTTTATCCGAAGTCGACGTCCAAACAGGCTACTTTCATTCCAACCAATGTGACGTTCTACGAACTAATGCAACACATCAAAAAAAGAAAAAAAATTTGCTAGATTCGCGACCCTGCAAAATTTAAAAAAAAACTAAGAGGCCTGACATTTGATTAAGTAACTTTGGCAACGAACACTCATCTCTATGCTCGTACTTAAAAAAGTAAAATAAGAGTTTAGCGACGGAGATTTGGACATCTGCAGCGGAAAAAAACATGCGTAACCGAAAAATAAGACCTTCGCCAGAAATCATAGATTGGAGGGATAATAACAGATAACCAAATCGATTCAAATGCACTGGAAGCTAAATATCCCGAAATACCACAGGTAGAATGCAACTAATTAGGTGTCATTTATATTTTATTGTTCAGTGAACTTACTCATTAGCCTCATGGCAACAAATCACATTCTAAACCGATACCAAATATTGCGTGTCTAATAATGGCTGTGAACCTGAACTAAATTAGACAAAAATTTCTAATAATTATTATTTGTGGTAAGCACACAAAGTTCTCAAAAACAGCGTGATAAAAAAAATGCGAAGCGCAGAATGTACGCAACTAACGCCAAAATAAACGTTTTTAGAGCAAGGATAAATGAGGCGCCCTTGATGAGAGTGACCTTCAAATGACAAATAAAATCGCCCTGAAGTGGAAGGTTTTGTTAAATGGTCATTAATTGCAAAATCTTATCTACTTTATAATAATCTCTGTCGCAGAGTGTTTAGCATTATTAAAAATATCGTGTGAAATAATTTTGTTGTTAGTACTTCATTTTGCAAATTGAAGTTGGGGTTCGAGAATGCTTACAATTATTTTGACTAATTTCTCAATATTTGAATCCCAAAATGCGTTGGGTTTAATTGGTTCATGATTTTCTACATAAAATTTTCAAGTCTGAGTTAGCGTAAACATTTTTATTTTTTTCTTAATTAAACCTACCAACGTACATATCTTTGGCGGACTTTGAATTTCCTGTTCCTACTTACAAAGTAGAACTCTCCGGAAGACTTCATTTAGTGTTATAAACTTAGTACTGAAAATACTGAAATGAAGTTGCGAAACTCTCAAACTCATTAACACTACTTACCAGAATGTGTTAATTTCACTACTCATTAACACTACTTTTTACATAATTCTGAATGTTTTTTGTAGTATTTGGTAAAATTCATCGTGATGAAAAATTCCTTTTAATACACATGGGGAATCAAGATGTTACATGACAATTATGGATTATGAGAAACGCTGGCAAAGCCGAACTGCAAAACCAATTTTTGATTATTCCACATTTTATAATAGCATGCACTCTAGGTACAATACATGTATACTGAGCTTTTGTTTTTAAGCAGGGATGTCGCTTGCATCATTGACAACAAAGGTATCTCGGTACCTGCTCTTAGTTGTAATAAAATGAAAGTTTAAATGTGCAATCAAAGAGGTTCTCGATGATAAATTTTCATAGGGTCACACCCTATTACTTCGTCTTATCGGTAACACTAGATTTGCTTCATCTCATTACCGTTGAAGCACTTGTTGAGAGCTACTTAGAATTTAAGTTGTCTGTCTTCCAGATTCATATTGCTAACACATATTTACATATGCTTATACCGCAAATAACTGATAAGGTAAGCAAATTTTCACTTTTCAGATGCTATTTTTAACCACTGCCAGCTACACTTTTGACCAATTTTAATGTGAATTTTAGATTTATGAAGTTTTTAAGATAAGCATAGTGTACCAGACATAATTAAGCCATCTAAGTTGAAAGAGACCTGAGTCGCTAAGTCGTAAGCCCTGATCCTGTTTGTGTGGATACTGGTTGGTGTGATAATCCATCGCAAACAGGATATTTTTACCGAGGTAATTTTACCAGATGTTTTGAATGCATCAGACTCATCATTACTTTTTTACTAAGACACTGCACAACTATCTGCATGCTCTATATGAAACCCAGAATGTGCCTACAACCAATCAAGCATCTGTGTTATGTGGTGATCTGCTGGTGCTATTATCTTGCTTAGATAATAATGATTAAACACAGTTGGGCTTGATCCCTAAATTATTATTAATAGAGACGCTTGAAAAATCGTCTTCTCTCGAATTCTCATCATCTAAGTAAGTAGCTGTCTCTTTTATTTCCAACTTGACAAATATGCCCTGAATTCATCTGAATCAAACTCTATCAGACTCATTGAGGTATATTTGTGCATTTGAGGAGATCAGTATACTTTGTTAGCTAATTAGTTACAACCTTTGATTGCAATTTGAAACCTCTTAAATGTAAAGTGGAAGAAGTTACCAGAAATGGGTGTTTTGGGAAAAAAACAAACGTCTATATATTTGTTCTTTTTGCAATCCGTCATTGTCATTTTCACTGATCATTCAATCCACTTACCAATTATTGTATCACGTGCTATCTGCGGGTACAAATGCCCCTTATTAATACATTGACACACAGTACCATATGCTGCCATCCTGTACGCAAAATTACACGTTTGCTGGTCATTTCCACGTTATTTTTTCTCGTGTACAATGACTTGAAGAGACTGAATCGATTGTGATAAAACATAACGTTAAGGAAAGGACTTGTTTCATCTCCTTTTCAAACTCTATATACCAAATATTCGGTCTCTTCAAGAATTTAATACTTGTAAACTAATGAATTGACGTCGGTTATGTTTTTGATGCTTTTGATATCTAGAATTTCAAGCGATGTGTGAGAAATTTCATGGTAAAGTGTAAGACCCACATAAATCAGATTCTAGTGCGTTTACTCGGGTATCACTAGTTTGGCCTTGAAAAAATTGCAATGAAATCAAAAGAGTGCAGCGTCAAAGTCCATTTCACCTGTAGATCGAAACGATCAAATTATGTAATCAGTACCAAAGTCAATTAACCTACAAGTTGGGACAATTTTTTCTAAAATTTTCTTATGTTCCGAGCAAACTATATTTGTTGGAAAGAGTAAAAAAGGAAAGTGCCTATTGTCCTATTCAAATCTTCCCTTACTTTTTAAAGCCTCACCAATTGGATCAAATCGCCTCAATAATAGTACAAAATCGACTAAATCTTTATTTTTGCGAGCTCAAACACAGTCATACACTTGCAATCGATAATTAAGATGTCATCACGTAAGAGACAAGCGTAAGGGTCACACTACGTTCACTTGTTCATTCTACACAACAATCAAATAAGCTCAACATTTAATTCGACCTAAGCTGCTGGAGCCGAGTAGTCATACCATAGGAGAAAAAATCAATTATGTGTGCAATTACACGCATCATTCAATGACAAAACTAACATACTTTTTTCTTCCTTAGGGCAACTACGATGTGCGATTCCATAAGGAGAAAGGTGGAGAACTGTGGGAATTCCATTAGCCCACTAAACTGCCTTTCTGCCATTATCTTACCATCGTTCAACAATGAGCCATGCACAATACTATTCACGTAGAAAAACTCGACAAATCCCGCCTACTCGTCTTGACAAAACTTGGTTTTTGCAATCACCGTTCCGACGGCGACCATCAGTGACGGTCACCGCTGTTGATGGGTACCTGAGCGGTTATACTGAACTAGATGTCTGCTATTCGAGTGCCGACGCTTCAGCTATTCCCACGATGCACTAGAACCGATTTAGACTCAGCTTTTCCTGCACACTCGAAGTTCAGACTATAGCTCACATATTCTTGGCAATGGTTTACATTTGAATTTGCATTTGTCCTTTACAGTCACGGTGGTCACTCGACAGAGGTGGTAAGTTATTTATTCATGTCGACCTAGTTTGTTTAGCCAGCGAGCTGCAACTGACAGCTGTCAATACTGAGGAAAGTCGCGCAACCCACAGAATTACTTACGATCGCTTTTTCTGTTAATTTAAAACAGTGGAATTTGGCCATATGACATTTGGAATCATCGAAGCTAAAGCTTTTAATAGCTTGTCTCACAGTGATGTCGAGTGGGCTTAGGAAACAGCTTACTATATCGAATTAGGAGTGAATTTCATCAAACTCATAACCTGTCTTTGAAAACACACACGTGGTACGCAAACTCAGCATGTGGTTAGATTGCGATCAGGGAGATGTCGCCAAGTAAGCAACAGTTGCTGTGATGTTCTACTTTGCAATAGCTGACACTTCATGCTCTGTTTCCGCACAGCCCGATTTGTAAAACCCTGATGAGCCACTCTCCCTAACATCGAAAACAAAAAAACCAACCACAGCCACTATTTGTAGCTTGAATGTAGAGCAAAATATGTTGGTCGGTAGTTGCACTCTGATGAGATGGAAATTCGATAGAGAAACTATGCTTGTAAAGTGTGGAATAGCACCCTCGGGTTGTGGAAACTTCATAAGCTCAAATGTCTTGCTTACTTGCACGTAATTAATAGCCGTAAGATGTGTGGCAAACTGATCACTAAGAGGGAATTTTGGTCAAAAGCTACAGAGTGATTTATATCAGGTGATAACTATTTCATCTATCGTATGTGCACGAAGTCTTCATATTGCTAATTGTAAAGCCCCAAAGCTAAACTCACATGAATGATATATCTACCCCCTGATTCCTTCGGTCACAGCCTTGACCTGTCGACTTAGACACTGTGGTCCATCATTCTCACACAGTAATTACCGACCAAGCATGAACGTAGGTCAAAATTACTTAATTACAAGAATATACTAAGCACCCAACAGCCTGCAGCTCTGAACACATGTGGTCTGCCGAAGCGCCAGACAAAAATTCCCGTAATTGAACGTGTGCAACGATTTGTCCAGCCGAAAGCCACAAATACCCACATATTTAGCAAAAGAACAGCAAAGAGCGTGTCTAACTGCCCTAGTATGTCATCTAGATTCAGTTATACTATTATTTTAACCAACAGTAATCTGAAATACTTATTGAAAACGTTCACCTTGATTGTACTTACGTTTTTTTTCTAAGTTTTAATTGGCGGAAAGTTGCGACTGCGGCTGCGACAGAGAAGGCTCTAGACAAAGGTTTTTCTCATTCATCAGAAACAATTTCATTAACAAACGATTGAGGTGCTTTTCTTCTGATGAGACAAGTGGGTGAAATTAAAAAGCGGCATGAGACAGCGGTATCACATGGTCAGACAATCATCCAGTGTCTGATGCAACTAAGGCACTAAGTTATGCCTGTTAACCTAAAGGTGTTACCACAAATGCTGTATTAGAGGGTCATGAAATGCGCAACTGCAATGACGCAATCAACGGTACCCAATTAACACACGCACGCACATACACACACACACACACAGGACAATCTAGCCATCACAAATGCAGCACAATCAACCCATGTTCGTGCTGCGTGGGCTCTGATTACAAGCGCGACCGCTGTTGCCGCCTTGGCGGTGGAAAGGAGGAGTTTTCACAGCGTGGAATCCATGACCTCGAAATCAGAAGGGGTCTAAACGCAGAGTTGGCTCGATGTATCGTCATTTGGCTTTACCGGATACAAGAAAATACACCAAGTTATCGAAAAAAAACAACGATTCTATCACATCCAGACAGTGCAGGGGACAGTGAAATGAACGGAAATTTCGACGCTGTTGCACCAATCAGATTGAGCCAAAACTTGTCGAACATGGGCCAGACGACGCGGTACACATTGAAGTGTGCGACACAAAATGTTGAATCGTGAGAAATGGATTTGATTTGTTTGTTTCTGCGTGCACCTTCGACTGTTTACGCATGTGTCAAACTCCGCGGTTGAGTTAATGATCGAGTTAGGCTCAAGGAATCCGTCGTTTTGCACATGTGTAGACATGTGTTTATCGAATCCCAAAAAAGAATCACATTATTTTTGTCGAAAATGAGAGTCGCGGAGCTGAACGCTTACTTAAAAATAACCTGATTTGAAAACCTGTTACGGCTTCGCATAACACAATTATAGGGTCTCACCAGGAGCAGGAGTACTCCATTGCAATTTCCGTTATTGGTCGACAAAGAAGATGAATTTACCGATGTCAAAATAAACGTCCTGTCGATCAAAATATCTTCCCCTATATTTCCGAATCGATAATGAAAAGATACGAGCATTAAAAGGTGGACATCTGATCTTAGCATCAAGGATCACCACCATGGAACACACCTGTCAGAGATCGCGCGCGCGTGAAGCCCGCTTACCGGCCAGACGATGTCAATGACTCATCCCTATTTTTCATTGGTTACTGCTACCCGACGTCTATCGTTCGCCCACTCATCCCTACACACAGACAAACGGTCGCATTTTTTCTCGGAGGGTTGTGAGGCGGTGCTAGCAAAGCCACTAAAGGTCGTCACGGTGCTAAATAGAGAGAATGCTTCGTAACTCTCGTCAGCGTATTATCTAAAAGGCCTTTTAATGCATGTAGTTTTGCAAATACTACTGCTTCAATCGCGGTTTTAATTAGCCAGCATCAAGCCATATAAAGGTGGTCAGACTCTCCAAATTAACTAATTTATTTGACATTTAAATTGTCAATTTTCTAGAAAATTTCGCCACTGCCAAAAGTGTTTCTTGGAAAATAAGGCTTCAACAAAAGGTGTGAGTGCATGTTAGCACAATGTAACCCATGTATGCAGAATGTATCGAAATAGACACCGCTGTCAAATTAAGGTTCGTGGAAGTGTGATTCCTAGGCACCGAGGTGTCTGCGGAAATCGGCATCTTACTGACAGCAAGCGTTAGCATGCATAATGCTTGGGTTTGGGGAGGTCACTAGTGGGTAATCCGGTTGCACAGCCTTCACAATAATTGCCTGTCCTCTGATTCTGTGCGTACCCGGGAAGGCCAGTACTTTTTCAACATCCTCTGGTCTTGAAAAGTAGACGAAACCGAAGAATCGAGGCTCTATCCCACCCTTTGTTTTGGCCACGAAGGCCGTCTCGACGGTGCCATATGCACTAAAGTACTTGACGAGGTCATCGCGATGAGCATACAGCGGCAAATGGCCAACGTAGATTCGTTTCTTGGCTTCCTCTGCACTAACACCCTTAGAAGACGCAACGTCCGTGGGTAATTTTGAAGGTGACTTCGAAGTTAAGGTCTCCGAGAGTTCACTTTTAAGTGAACTGACACTTGAATTACTCCTAATTTAAAAAAAATAATAATCAGCCAGGATAACTCCGGATTTCTGTCTTTAGAGAGGTCGAGTGATAACTACGCGCCACAAGCTTTCATTGTGGTTTCAAAAACGCGCTCAACATAAGTTAAAATGTAGTTTTCCGATGTTACGGGAAGAAATGGAATCAGTATTAAATAAAGTATTGGGGATATTTAGTTAAGCATCATCGATTATTTGTATATATAATAACGACAAGAGCTGTTTTCTCTCGTTTTCTATTCTCAGGTCTAAGTATCACAATAGTAGAAAAGACGGCCCTGTTCTTTTTGCATCTTACGATGAAGCGAATGCAAAACACTTGTTCCCTAAATTCCCCTTCACGAGTTTGCAGTGAATCGTGTTGATCCCCGCCCAGTCGTCGCATTCACCGCCACATTGACCCCATCACGCCGTCCCTAGCGGTCATGCGACACCGACTGCTCCTACACCCCTGTGCGTGTACCACCCACACGCCACCAATATCATTCGTCTGGACCTTAAGCCGTTCGCATTTTAACAGGTTCACTCAGATTGTGTTAGTCAACAACCCCATTTAGTCAGACACGACCCTTTATGCACGGTGGCGTGACACACACAGCCAGGCGGCTGTGGCCTTCAACAAACTCATTTGTGTCTTCAGAGCACAAATTGACAATTGCCCCTTAATTGCCAAAACTACTTTTTTTAACATGGGGCTGTCAGCGAATACTAAATGGCAAGGAGTGAGTCCATTGATCGGTTGTCCTCAACACGAGCTCATGCAGGAGGGCTCATTTGACACTTGGAAGGGATCGCGGTTAAGAATGGACTCACGAACCTAAAATGGCGTAAACTATGCATTGGAATTTTAAAAGCACTCAAATCATACTAATTGAGTAGTTTATTTCAAAAACTACACACAACCTGGCTTATTCAACCTTTCAATGCACAATTTACCAGCGGCAGGGTTCGGCAGTATTGACGCAATATTTGCTGTTCAATTCTATGCTAGTGGTGTGGCTCCAACATTTAACAACACAGAAATAAGTTACGTGATCGAATCAACTTGGACCGTGGAAATGGAAACGGGCGCACAATGAGTAACACTGGCTTTTGGAAATAAGAAAAATGGTAGCTGTATTGGAGGGAGACAGTTACCTCAAAAATTTGCAAACTCACAAGATTGATTCGAAGCTAACATTTTTTGGAATATTGCCACCTACATCGAAGGGCAGCAGTGGGTTCTCGGCTTTGCGTAGGTAGACTGCTTTATTGCTAATATAATGCGGTTGAGCAGACATGGCAGCATCTACCGACGCAAGATTTCGAAACACCACAAAACCCTCTGTTCCTGTTTCCTTATTTACCATTGCAAACTCTACCGGACCGAATTTGGTAAAGTACGCTTGAAGTACGCTGTAGGTCGTCCCTGCAGGGATACCATATAACAAAAGTTTACGTGGAAGCACACTCGGGGTGTTAATTAATCCCCGTGAGCCTGTATTTTCTCTAAAAAGTAGAAGTTATAAGGGATTATTAGAATAAATTGAAGCATGTGAACGACATAAAGGACGTTCATGGTTAACTTACTTAGGTAAATTCGATTTAGGAGATCCAGATGGCACTATAAGTGTAAGTTTATGACCATCTAGATAGTGTGGTTGGGTTTTAACAGCCCGGACCAGGCTATGTGGGCTCTCGAAGACGAGGGAGCCTCGGTCTCCCGACACCTGGCACAACAATATCGCCCCGAACTGTGCGAAGTACATCCGCAGGGCGACGTCGGAGGTACCCTTGCCGAAACCCTCAACGTACAGTTTGCGCCCGCATGCTTCAACACTCGGGATGTAGCTGCTGGAGCTACTTAGTGACTCCCTTTAAATAAAGCGAAGACAAATGTCACTTGACGCCTGGATTCGGGGGTATTCACAAGTGCTTCGACGCTTCTGTGACAAACTTCTAACTGGGTCAACGGAAATCGCGGTCAGTTAGGAGGAGAGTCCTCCATGAACATTCAAAGGGTACATAGACCAAGTTTAGCAGGAAAAACAATGCTTAAAACATCGGCAAGCCCTCTAGATACTTAAACAAAAGTTCCAGCCACCTATAAGTACTAATAGATTATGCGAGTAGTCCACTGATATGCAGGTAGGTAAAATGACCTTAAAAGATCAGGCGATCTAAGGAAACCATGAAATTTCTCACCTAGATGGCTTAATGTAATTAGTCGTAATGAGTTGACTACAAAATACGGAACACACTACAAACACATCTAGGTCCGAGCTGTTCGATAGCTTCGAATGGGGCAAGAATCCGCGGGCTGGAAATTTTTGGGGAAATTTCAAATCGAAACACAGTGATCGTTGGTAGCATTAATAGGTGCCAGAGACAGGTTAGACTGGCACAGACATTACCGATTGGGGCTGATCCCTAATTTGGGTGGTGAGACAGAATCATAAACCCGTGCAAACACCGTCGCTGAAGCTACTATTCGATGCTGAGTTAAATTAAATGGATTTTGACATTTAAAATGCGTAAAGTCGTTAATTACACGATCAGAGGTACAGCCAACTACTTGGCAGTACAGTGGAAAAAACCCCAGCGCTTACAACGATGCAGCCCG